GTGGTGAATGGCTGGTAGTATAATTTTTCCATAATGCTACGAATTTAATATTGCCTTGCATACGAAAAGGTATTTTCTTCCAGACTCGTCTGAACCGGTCTCATCAGCATCCTCAGCCGGACTCGAACCCGGGTCGTGGCAGCGTAACGTATAGTCTCGACATGTTAACCACTACGACACACACTTTCACGAATGCCCTTGGACAAGAGGATAGACGGGAACCTAAAAGAAACCTAGGCCTTTCCCACACCACAGTTCTGTGGAGGAATTGTTGACGCAGCAAGGTTTTATTTGCTATGGCATATTTACAATTTACAAGTAGGTTTACGAGACTTTCAGTAGATCTTAACATGAGATGTGATTATGAGCTGAAAATAGGTAATGTAGCTGCATAATATAATAAATACAACCTTGCTTTGTCGACAATCCCAACGCAGACGTAGGCTTCCTTGAAATTTGCTTCTTCCCTGTCGCCAAAGGTCACTCGTGGCAGCGTGTGTCGCAGTGACTAACGTGTTGAGACCATATGCTGCACAACCACAACTCGGGTTCGAGTCCCGCTGGAGATGCTGATGAGGCCAGTTGAGACTAGGTCGAGACTGCCGACCAGTCCAGTCTGGATGGGAATACCTGCCGTGAAGCAAAGCGATGCGAAATTCATTGGAATAATGAGATCTATTCATATTATTGGGAGAAAATTCAACTACCACTCCTTCAGTAGTAGTCTTGAAAACCAGCTTATAAACGAAAAATGGTGGTTGCGCTACAAAATCATACCCTGCATGACCACAACCCAGGTTCGAGTCCTCTGGGGACGTTGGTGCGACGGCCAAAGGATTTGAATACCTTGTGAGAAGCAAGGTTATGCGAAATTAAATGTAAACACGTGGCCTACCCTTATGGTTGTGGGAAACGTCGACGATCAGCCTCCTTCATCAACTTATGCCAGTGTCCTCTCTTGACGGGCTCCAGCAGACAGACTCATCCCCGCGGCTTGCGTAGGCGAGACGAAAGTTTTCCGGCCGAGCAGCGGTCGGCATGGGTTTTGGCGAAACCGGTCCACTCTGCTGGACAAATGGCGAACGGACCGATGGGCTGGTGGTCACGGACACAGTGAGGCTTGAGATGGGCGGAAATCGAATAGCTGCGTCCGGGAGGAGGGTGCTTCTGGTGCAAGTTGAGCCTGTGGTACGGGTCGAGAACGGGCACGATCGGATTACCCGACGACGGGTGTGGTTGATATAGACGAGATGGGTGGTTGAGCCGAGTCAAGCCTGAAGAATGACCCGCGGTTGCATCGTCAGCATGATTTACTCGTGCTGCATCGTTTATGCAAATTGTCTCTTTACCACCCTTGACCCATCTTCCTCCACACAAGCACCACCATCCCGCCGGTCAAATAGTCTCAATTCGGTACATTCTTGTCCGGTTCAGCTCTCTTCACTTCATTTCTGCTCTCTTTACTTCAGTTCACTTTAGGCAGAACCGTTAATCAATATGCAATAGAGAAAGGTCGCTGCTCACAGTCAACCGGGGCCAGGGCGAGACCAGACTCTCATCGAAATTATCGCCAATAAATGTAAGTTCGCGCTGGACGACAAGGCATCCTCCAAGCCCCCATCGCTAAGCTCCCTCCGGCGGGCAGAAGACCCAGAAGAAGTCGGATCCTTGCCCGCAAATGCCAAAGGCGACAAAGGCGATCGACCAGAAACAGTGAAGACAACGAGTCTCGATGTCTTCGGTCGTGATGACACCACTTGGTCGATAAGCTCAACATGCGCCGCGACGCAGTTGATTCAACTTATATCATCCCCTCCTCCAAAACTTGCCACAGGTTTTTGCGTTCCTCGATCCTCAAGAGATTTCACTCTGAACTCGACTATATGACCTATCGTTAATGGAGGAAATGTAATCAAATGATACTGTATCTAGGCCAAAAAAGTAGGTCTGAAGATTGGTTGCCTTGCGGAATCTGGTGGAGTTGACGTATCCATTCTGGTAGACTGACCGATTTCCCGGCCGGTGAAGACATCCGCTTTAAGTGGCGTCATCTGGAACTGTTGTGTGCAGACACAGTGGTTCGGGCTTCCCGTATAGCTCACTCGACGAGGTGAGATGAGTCCGGTTGGGTCGTGAACTCCGAGGGCCAAATCCGCGCCTCCACAGCTGGCATCTCGCTATGGCTGCGGATGAGAGGATAAGGCGAGATGAAATCTACCGGTCAGCCTGAATGGACAAGCACAGTGCCCAAATAGACATTCCACCTCGCCCCAGTGGGACTCGAACAGTAAACGGACGGATTCGGCCCTTCGACGCGCTCAGTTGTCCATCCTTAGCCTCATTTAGTTTGTCGGCAAGTATGATTATTTGTATATGAATAAAAACCGGGTCTAGAAGAATTCCTCACATATTTAATGTAAATCGACTTTCCATTTGAATGAAAATTTGGTTGAAAGGAATCGGTAAATTGGCCCTACCGGAAGCTGAAGGAGTAAAGACTGCCGTCTTAAGGCTCCGATAAACCTGTACTACGTTTTCGCTTGTCACGTGATAAAAAATACCGTCAGAGAGAGGAACCATCGCTTATTTTCGTAGCTTATTGTATTTGGTGCTTTTTTTGTAAGGTATAATTTATCGCTCTGACGGTGTCCATCACATGATGGACAAAAGCTCAGTACTGGTTTCTAGGGGCGGAAGGATGGTGAGCCGTGGACTTACTCGCATAATCCAACAAACTTGACTCCATGGCAATCCTTCCTCGGTTTCCGATGCTACCAATTCACAAATTTCTTCCAACCAATTGTTGTGGGGACTTACATTTCGTGCTAAATTGCATGAGGAAAAGATTCGTAGATTGGACTCATCAAAAGACAACGGCTGACTCCTGTTGTTCTACGACATTTCGATTGATGTATAGATTGTTCTGACGGTCATCGTAAGAGTTGAAACTCATTCTTGCAAAAGCTGCAAGTTAACACTTGCAGTTGGTAGTTGAATTTTCCCACAATGGCATGAGTAGAACCTACATTTTCATTGAATTTTACATATCCTTGCTTTCTCAAAAAAGTATTCCCATTCAGGGTGGAGTGCAATTTCTACCTCGTCCAGGTCTTATCAACACCCCACTAAGACTCGAACAATGGCAGTGTGGCGGTTAACCATTACGTCATATTGCCCTTTGGTCACAGGGCAGGTGTGAATTTCGAAAAAGGACAGGCATTTTCCAATATCACATTCTCTGGGGGGGGCGGGGTGTCGATGAAGAAAACTTATAATTACCATAGCAATCGACGACATTACTTACATTTTTCGTTTTTAGTGGGCTTTCGAGGCTACCAGTAAATCAGATATACCTCATTTATCTGATTTAGTGGTAGCCTCGAAAGCCTACTAAAAACGAAAAAATAAAGAAAACAAACCGGCTTTATCTATCTATTTCTATCTATATATTTTCGTTTTTAACTATGAGTATATGTAGTATGTTGGGTAGAGCCGGATAGTCTTCCTGCGTCTGCATGAATGAGCTTCAACTCTAACGTTGTCCGTCATGTGATATTACGGACGAAAGTCCTGCCTATTTTCACTGGAAACGAAGAAGGATGTCTGGTGGACTGTTCATCCTGAAGTTCTTATGAAAGTCAAGCGATGAAATCGACCTACGAATCTCTTCTTAATGCACTTTCATGCGAAATTATAGTCCCTCCAACAAAGTTATCTCGGGAGATTCATCGAAACCCTGCTACTCTTCGTATCTGCGAGGGTTGTTCAGGTCCACACGCCCGTTCTCGATTCGAATCCGATCTGGAGGAGTCTGAAGTGGCGGGTGAAGTGGGTGAGGGGCGACTAGACTGTCAGGGACTGGATGTGAAGGACGATCGCGATTAGGACGGTCTCGACCATATTAACAATACGAAGCTTCAGCTTCTAATTGTTGATTCAGTACATTCCAAGATCTTTCACCGATATCACAGTCGGCATAGTTCCTGAGCCCTGTCGTGCTTGGCGTAAAACTGATCAAAGAGGCGAGTCTTTTGTCTTTGTCTCTTTGATAAGTCGTAGTTTGGCGCAAAGACTGTCAAGATTCACTGACCATACCGGCTGTGGTGCCGGCAAAAAGTCTGGGCATCTACCGAATCCACGATCCAAAGGCAGAGGATGCCAGTTCATGGGCGTTCATCTAGTTCGCCCTGGCCATACGACAATGTTAGGAAAAAGAGGTTAAACAAGTTTTATACTTTTTCCAAAAACGCAGATCGTAACCATAACAGCGGCCACACCATCCTGATTGATAAACTCGAGTAGTTTGTGGTGACCTACCGACTGTCAGTTCAGTCTATCCACACGATCAGATGGGCAAGAAATTAATTTCACTCAAACTGACTCCTCCTATCCTCGCCCTCAATTGGGATTCTAAGTCGCATCGGGGGCAGAGGGTGGAGGTGGCATTCACATCCCGCGCTTACATTACCTTCAGCAACTTAGGCTGGCTAACTTCTTCGTAGATATGAAGACCAAGATGGTGTGGCTTTCTGTTTGGCCGCAGTCTGCTGTAGCCTTATAGAGTTGGTTCGACCTAGTTTCCGCAACCTTTGAGAGTGGATATCATGAATACTATGTCAGGGGACACAGGACTAGGTACATTCCACAAGGTCTCCTCGGCTAAGTTCTTAATCGGGTAGTGCGGAGGATGCCGAAAGCAACTTATACCAAAAATGTACAGACTTGTCAAGTGGGCGAGTCGCATCCGTTTGGGGCAATGAAGTGGAATTGCGACTAACCAAAGCCCCAAAGATGCTGACCTCGTGGTCGACCGTGTTAGTGTGTGTCCGTTTGACTAGTCCACTCGTCTGCTCCGCCATGACTGTGAGCGATACACATGCTGGGCGGCTGGCAGACAATGGCGTGTCCATTACTCCTCGGCCCGGCTCGTGTGTGCACCTCATGGGCCCGGTCCCCAGCATCGGGGGGTGCCGTTCGAGACCGGCTTCGCGACTACTCCACAATCGTCTGTCGACCCTCCCGACGCCGACATGACGCCTCCTCGGCCCTCGGACCTCCACACATGCATTCTACACAGGTCGACCGGCGCCGGCTGGTCGGGCGGCATGTAGGCTGACCTTAAAGACAGGCAAATGATGAAGCATGTTTGTGCGATTCACCAAACTCCCGGAAACCGATTCCATGCACAGGCTTTTAGCACAAACCACGAGGCGCCCACATGTCCTCCGCTCTGTCCACCAGCCTTCCGCCCAAAACGCACAGAGGGAGCCAGTAAAAAACACTAATTCACCTATTTTGCAAGCATCACCACACATGTCGATGTATTTACATAAACACATCAGCACACGAGTCGCGAATGGAGCCACATCCGGGGGAGGGACGGACCGGGATCGAATTGCAGCCTCGGCCGGATATGGGCGAGGTCAGCCGAGCCCCAACCCAAAATCCAACCCGAGATCCAACCCGAGACCTAGCCCAAGTCCGAGCCGGATGGTAGCCGGCACCTTCGAGCCAGCCGATGCCGCAGAGATCGGACTTCGCCCAGGCAACACACACTTGACATGTTTCGGCTTCCCTATAATTGATTGCGACTCTACCCGAAGATAAGCCATGTCCGAGACGGACCCTTTTCACAAAGTGAGCATCCCGCTTGCCGGCATATCGCATCGCAAGCACAACTCGTCTCCCTGACAAAGCCTGAGCTAGCAATATGGCACGATGATGCATATGTATGCGTGTTTGTGAGTATCTGCACACTTATACATGCATGCATGTGCATACAGGCGTACGTGTAGGCGAGAGAGAGACCATCGTTTTCACTCTCGAAGTCACCAACAATGGTATCTATTGGTAACGCAATGCAAAGGCCTGTTATGTCTGAAGACGAGATGAGGATGCAACCAACTGGGATGCCTCAAGCGGATGCCACTTCGAGAATGGTGCTGACATTGGACAGTATATATGCACAC